ATTGGATTAGATATGAAATCAGTGATGTCACGTGGGACTTGGACCATTTCCCAATATTTTTCAATGTAATGATCGAGAGATCCTTGTACCATAAAAAAAATATTTCAAGTAAATTCCAAACGCACCGACTGGAATGGGGTTTAATCTGCACTTGAAAATTGCTACACAGATTTCTTTACATCTACATACAACAATATGACACCGGTGAAAAAATACACTTACTACTAACTACCCTGTTGAATGGTTCCGATAAAACATGATAAAAAAAAAATTATATCAGGATAGATGTGTGTCTTTGCACCAAAACCTGATATATTGATCAGTGTTTTCGTATGAATATCCTAGGATGATATATCAACTTTATAGGATCATACAAGTTTTAAACAGTATTGTAAAATATATACATTTTTTCCGATTCAAACATACGACTTACAATTGTTTATAGGTTTTTTTAGGGAGAGTATAGAGCTGACACAAAATTGTATCATGTCGTATAAGATTATTACATTACCAAATTATTCATCAGGATCCACTAAATTATTACGATACGTGTAATATGATGTTATAACGTGCTTATTATGTTTCACACATGATCATACTCAAATATTTTACCTGTAATTATACGGTCAGCTAATTGATATACGTGACTAAAAATTTAATATTTTTTTAAAAATGAGTTGAGATGTCTGACTAGAACTCAAATCGTTTGAGAAATTCGATTAATACACTATCTTAAAATTGGAACATATTTTCAGCTAAATTAAAATACTGTATTGAAATTTAAAATAATCATTTGTAAAAATGAAAAACGTATTAAACGCGCCTTTTTTCGCTTCTTGCCTTTGACTAGACTATCTTTACATATATCTTATGTTTTCTTACGTACTTAAGAGCCTCAATATAAATCATATCTTAATTACTAAATATTTATTTAATGTAATATAGTTTACAAATTTTTGTCTGACAATTATTATTATCTATCACATACTTACATAACTTTATAATAATTACAACCCTGAAAATGAAATTTGAAAAATTTTACCGTGAGTTTGAATCGAACCGGAGTCCACAGGTATTTGAATCCGACGTGTTACCGCTGAGCTATGGCAACGTTGGATTCGACTAAAGAAAAACTGATATAAATCGTTTAACTGATATAAATGTACCTACGTTACGCGGGAATCCATCGATATCTTGTGAATCCGTTACATTGAAGCACACGTAAGAACGTGTATATCACAATTGTAGTTGTTCGTTTAATATTTACACAATATTCTGGCAAGCTCAGCTCCGTGGGCCCTAAGACAAGAAGTTTCATGTTGACATTGTCAGTCATATCCGTATAGAATACCAAACCAGTAGAAATTAGACGAGAATCATATAATAACATCATATGACATCATTTAAAGACTAAAATTATAAGAATATATGTGTGTATTTGCACCTGACATATTTTATAAGACCTTATATACCGAGAATACATCAAAATACTTAGAAAAAAATAATATANAATATTCGTGGGACTCCTTGTGCTTGTATTGCTTGGATGTGCACTAGGTATGAAGTCTATTTTTTCTACTGAAAATTAAGTAAACGTTCAAAGGTAGCAAAAATAGACCCAATTTGGTAAAATAACTTGAACTAATCGCTTAATATACATTTTTCTTAAAATTACAAAAAATAGGTATCTGAAGAGGAGCTTGTGGATTTTAGCGCTGAGTTGGACGTTCTTAAAAAATTAAGGGGAGGTGTCAAGTTTCTGGATGAACTGCCACACACACCATCTGGAAAGATAGACAAGAAATTGCTTAAGGATTTGGCAGCAGCTTCTTTAAAGTAGTTGACATCTATGTCAACTTGAATAAAAATTGTGGGTATTTCATTAATTAACAGAGAAGTTATAGCATATTACATTGTATGGGCTGCAAAAAAATAAGTTCTAAATAACTTTTTTCACATAATCACAGTGCTTACGTGCATAAGGGCTAGAAATAACTCAAAATAAAATGTTTATTAGTGTATTTGAATCAAGATGTTACAGTACGAATAAAAATTACTTCACGAGTTAGAAAATAATACATTACGTGCCAAGGGAAAAAAATATGGCATTTCCTTTAATGTGTGAGTGGCCTTCCAAGCCGAATGCCAGGATAGCAAAGCAAAAATCTCAAAAATGTAGCAGTACTTTTTTCCTGAGGCACGTATACGATTTTTTTCCTTCCTGCGCTAAAAAATGACTTTTAGTGTGTAGGACAGGTCAACCTCCCTAGAGCATAATAACTCAAGATGTGCTCATAGGCAAGATTATCACTTTGCAACTATCACAAGAAGAACACCGCTTACAACTGAGAAATATACATTTAACCCTGGCACTTTTCGTGCAGGTTGGTAGAACTTTCCATCCATGGTACAAAGTAAGCTATTAGAAACTTCTTATTATGTTGGTAATAGCCAAATGGATAAACAACCATTTCTATAGTACGTACTTCTTTGAAAGAATTTTTTAAGTAAAATACTATATGCAGATTTTTACGTGAAATTCACTATTCGATTAGTTCAGAAATCATAATGTCTCTTGTGCGAAAAAATAAGCAATTTTTTTCATAAGATACTTTTAGATAACTTTTTTTTTACATTTGGAAGCCTTATAAAATAGAAAAAAAAATTTCAAACAAAAACTGTTGGAGTCTCAGCGCAAACTTATTCGAAGATTTTATTTTTGATAAGCTTTTTGAGCATTTGTCATTTTTAATCCGTTCCAAGTTGAAGCTTATCATTTCACAACATTTTTGGTGCACTGCTGTTAGAGAGAAAATTGTTTACTACAAACATATAACATATTAAATTTTTAATAAATTTTGGAGGATAATTGAAGGTCACATGTGCCGTTTCTTATGTTCTGGTACAGTGTGTCATCTTATCTTATCTTCTTACTAATATATAAAGCAAAGTCGCTAAAACCGTTGTAATCACTAACTGCGAAAACTACTGAACCGATTTTGCTGAAATTTAGCATACCGATTCTTGACACTTCTTAGATGGTTTTAGTATGGTTTTTATATTTAAAAATTTAGTAACAATAGCAATAAATAAGCTCAAAAATTTGCAAAAATACGTCAGCTTATCCTGGCAGTCACAATTACTGTAAACTTTAGTCAAGAAAGAGTTTACTGAAGAAGCTCACCGGTCTTTTTTAGGGCCATCGGACGTCGAACTATCTTACCAACAAATATATTAGAACATAACAAAGTTGACAGAAAACAGCCTTTAGGGGTCACAAAAGTTTTAAGGGTGCCAAAAGTTGCAAGAGGGTGAATTGGAAGGAAAACTTTAAATGTATCTCATGAATACAATTTTAGGCGTCAAGAAGCTGACGCAGAAAATTTATCGAGATTGGAACAGCAGCGTTAAAGTCAACCAATAAAGAATCCATTATGAGAGATTAGCTTTTCATCGTACCCTCACAGTAATCTCTTAAATCTTTCAGATTTATAAATAAGTAGAAAATGTATTTGTATTTTTGTGGCAATGAAAAATGTAGAGATTAAGCTCCAGGACTTTGTTGCTTTGGTAATAAAGTTGTGAAATAAGAGAAAAAAATTTTTTTGAATACATATTTTTTGGGAGCTTAAAATCTTAACAGCTTTAAAAATAGCCCTTTTCGTAATTTATACGGGAGAAACTGCAAATCAACCGCTTCTTAGGGCCAACGATTATTTTATGGCATAAGAAACGCACGGTACTTTTCAGCATAATTATAATTTTTTAATTTTTACAGGCTATTATTTGACCAAATAAACTGTATGGATTGCGAACAACTATGCTTTTAATGAGAAGATTTTCGTTCTGAAATGTGTCAGGAATAAATGTAAAATTTCTAACTGAAAACGTTTCACATTACATGTCAACACACTACGGTGTTCCATTTAGTAAGTCTCGGGCGAAGCCGAGACGGGGGGCTGCTAGTGAATTATACTCTCGTTATGAAAGTAATTATGCTTCACTTATAAAGTTACATTCGTTTTAATTGCTTATGCCCTTATCAACTCTAAGTATGAGTACACTGTAATAGTTAAATAGGAGTCACTTACGTTACGTGGTACGTCACTTACTTTACGTGGTAAGTTTATTGGTGAGTGCATGAGTATCCGCATGAATTTTAGTGACTCACATTTCATGGAAAGAGATAAGGAATCAATTAAAATTCCATTACTTATCATTTTCTCATTTAAAGCCTCCAACTCTCAAGTAAAAGGATCATTACTATAGTAGTATAGACTCTAGTGCCTAGTAAGATTGAAGGCACTATATGAAGAACATAGCAGTTAATAGATCAAAATGCTTTTTACACTGTTCATCGCCGTGCTGAGTGCTAGTAGTGGTGAGTCTCTTTATTTTAGTATTAGTTACTAATTTTATTAGACTTCTCGTTTAAAAGCTGCTAGATATACCTATCATATATGCCACATAATTTCATTACTTCTTACTAACACTTGGGTAATCAGATTGTCTCTTTAGCATCTTTATATCTTTAAAACCATCTCGTACTATTATTTTCACGATTCCTTTTTCTTGTTGCTGTCCAGTTAAAAATAATAGAACTGTTATAATTATTGCATGTCTTAAGGCATGCTTAAATCATGCCACTTTTTTATTTATATATTTAACGTGTCGTGGTGCGAATGTAAGCAACGTAACGTATTTCATTACTTACTCATCAATATATTTTTTTAATATCTTTTGTCGAAATCACAGCTGAATACCAATATATCTCTAATTCTGAGTGTTCGCCTAATTAGGTACTGATGCAAAAAATTTACTAAATTATGACTTTGAAAAAAAGTGTAGGCTTCCTATAAAGTTGTAAATTTTACTTTAACAAATGAGTTTGTATTCTGTTTTCCTAATAGCCAGTAGGTACGTTGATACATGCTCGATTGTCAAATTAATATTGCTTTAATGACAAGTACTTTCAAACAGTGTCTGAGTCATTATAGGTTTCTATCATTGCTCTATTAACTTCTTGTGAAAATAATAATCAGTATTACGTGTAAGACTTTCTGTGTTTAGGAATCATTGTTGGTTTATTGCTTATGCACACTTTATGTTAGTATTAAAATAATGTTTATAATTGACTTTTATAAAATTTAAAAATAAAATATATTAGTACAGAGAAAACAAATTATCATGCTTCCCCTAATATATACAATTGTAGATAGACAATTAATAAAGCGCAATATAATTAAAGCTTCACATAAAACATCGAAGTAAAATAAAAACTGTATGAGTGCAAAAGTTATACGCAACCCAAGATATATACAACAATATTAACTGGAAGAAGTCGCTAACGTCAATGATCATGTACCTACACACTAATTATTATTTCACCATTAATAAGAAATTCCACATAAATGTTACCATTCGTCTTATTTATCGAAATTTGGACTATTTTTAGGTCGAAGCAAAATTTACAGCTTCAAAAAAGAGAGATATAAATGGTCAAAATTTGTCATACAAGAAGTAGTTCATTGAAAGCTTAAAAATAACATTTTTACTTGTAACATTTCGTATTTACATCACGTATTTATTGCTTAGGATTCTAGGGTCGTGGGGTGCACACGAAGTAAATAGTCGAGGAACTAGTATCAACGTCTTTGTTTGTGCCAAAACGAGAAAAGACCGCGACGCGTGTGTACAACCTTCATCCTTGACGGTTCCAGCCAGAGAGCGTGCTGCTTTCAGCATCCTATCTGCTTATTGCTTTACTCTTTTCCACTAAAATCATCTGTAGTAGGCCCCAAAAAGAGGGGGCGCATGTACGTGTAGCTATGATATCGTACGTGACACGTCCGAGACCGCGCCGCTATCGTCCTCGGTGGCGATTTCCCTTTTTAATTTACATGTTTGTGCTAGAGTAATATTCGTGTAATGTTGTTTATATTGTATGTGAGATTTCTAACATAGGAATAAAAAGGTGGAGAGAAAAAAAAACCTGTCCTTGTTCCTCCTTTACACAAATTCGCTAAATTGTTTTTTTTTTGTAAACATTTATTGTTTTTGTTCACGCTCTTCTCCCTTTATAATATAGTGCATTATTGCAAAATTCTTATTTGTAAATTCATGGAGTGTAATAACCTTAAAGTTATTTCTACTAGTTATTAACTAATCATTTAATCCTACTGTAAGTTATTCATGTTAAATTTGTAAAATATGGCATTATAGTATGTTATGTTATGATGGTATTATATTAATATAAAGGTATAATATTACTTATTCTCCTACTGTTCATTCGATCATTCTTTTAATGTTTTTATTCGTGTTATTGTTACAGTTGGCTGGGCTACGAGTAACCTAGATTTATGTATGTACCCATAATTTAATTAAAAATGTTTTTTTTTTTTTCATCCTCTTATGCGCGAGGACGTTTTATTTTGTCAGTTGCCGAAGGTGCACTTTTGACTGCTACGCGTACTTGTTTTGGCAACGCGACTAGTCTTTATATGGTCGATATGGTCTGTAGGATTGTTGGTTGCACTGTCACTGCGCTCGCTGCTGCACCTTCACTTTCGGAACGGTTTCTTCTACCTGTAAGCATTCTAGCCAAATTTAGTATTAAGGGGCCCCCCATTTTTAAAAATCCAAACGACTTCACCGCCGTGCCTAATAATATTTCTACCATCGTCCACGGTTAACCCTTGCAACCTGACAGTTCTCCTTTTATTTGCACTTCTTCGTATTCGTATGCTGGGTGATACACTCCACCGTAATGGTTTCTTATTACGTATATCCTTCTCTATTCCCGCGGGTATATTTTTGTTTTTGACATCTTTTAAGAACTTC